TCGTAGTTGTGCACCTTCATGGGTTTGGAGTAAGCCTTCAAGAACGTTATCTACTGATTTTGCTACAAGGGGTTCTTCTGAAAAATGAGAGAAATATACATATTTGCAAATTATAAAAAGAATCCATTGGGATTAAACTTGGAAATCGCGCATATGGTATATGAGACGGATCCTTTCGGATAAATCCTAAAAATCCCGAAAATTGAAAATTACGGTATCTCAGTTTGATCCCCGAATTACTCTCTCAAATACCTCTTATTAAATCAGTATATCTACGCCTTTCTCTAACAGTTACATCTGTATTCCTTGCTCCAAGCTCTCCAGAAAAAACATAGGCAGCAGAATCTCCCCAAATTCCACGTCTATAATCTCTAACTCGAGCATTAAAACGAGCTCCAAAAGTTGGCACCAATAAAGTTTCTGGCCCAATTTGATAATTTGATTCCCAGGCAAAATCTTCATCTCCACTAATATTTTTAAGAGTCTGTAAACTTTTTACTTCACGTTCATATTCAGCATAAGCTGAATATGGTCTATAAATTTCTAGATCTTTTTCTTCTTGTTTAAGTAAGGCTGGGGTTTGCTCCTTTAAAATCATAATAAATTTAAATTGTAATTTTATCTCGTACAGAGTTTCGTTTGTCTTGATCACGTTTAACTCGATCAACGGCATCCATTAGTAAATCAAATTCTGTATCAGGCAAGTGACGGAAAGGGGAAGGTTTTTGGACTGTTGAATCATGAGAGGCATTCGGCGATAGGACCTCTTTCTTCGGCACAATCTGAACGCTCATGGTATGTTCCCCACGAGGTGAAAGTTGTACGGGTGATTTTATACCAAAATCTGGGATTTGAAGGGGAAGATGTTTGCTAGTAAAATGTTGTTCTGCTTCATCAAGTATTTCGGGTGGGGAAGAAATGTCGTCTGGAAGTTTCTGAAATTTTGAAAGAAAATTTTTTGAATGAGCAAAAATCTATTTTTATTTAATGACCTCCGATGGGAAAAAATGTTGTAATTGTTGATTAAGTGGAGGAGGAGATTCGGCCATAAATGCGGGAGAGGCTAGAGGAGTTACCGTACTAGAGGAAGGACCTTCATGTTCAGCTGTTGTTGTGGTACTCCCTTCCCCGTCAGCATCCATAGCATCTATTGGGGTTGTTGTTCTTCGAGGAACCTAATTAATTTTGTTGTTTTTAGTGTGTGTTTAACCAAAGATTAATTAAACAAAGGATTAACACAATATTTGTCAACACCTGTTTTTGCGGGCGAGGAGTAGTTGTACCAGAGGAACGTTCACTGTTTTGGGTGGCTGAGCTATTCGAATCACCTCCACCGCTTTCCTCGGAAATATCGGAAAGAACACGATTAGCAAGCTGTAAAATTAAACAAAAAATTTATCGAAAGTGGGCTGTTATTAAGCACCTCCTCTTGAATCTGTCGACGCTCTCCTCTAATTAATTTCATAAGAGCTGATTGAGGATTCTTTGAAAAATAATCAGTCTAGATTTATTTTTGTACAAAAATTACTTTTAAATCCTCTAATTTTAATTCAGTAATTCCAAACTGTTTAGCCAAGTCAGCAAGGAATTCGGTCTCTTCTGGAGTCAATTTTTGTTGTGGTTGCTGTTGTGGTTGTTTTTGTTTCTTTGCCGCAGCTGCAGCCATCTATGAATTAATTTTTGTAAAATATTTTAGAAAATTCCCTCACCTCCTCAATTTTCTTTGAAATTCCTGCAGGTAAGGGTGCAAACTGTGGAGGTCCAGTTTGCTGTTGATACCCTCCACCAGGGGCTGATCGTTCCGATGAGCCACTTCTGCTACGAGGAGGTAATGGTGGTGGAGCTCCCTGACCTTTTGGTTGAAATTCTGGAGGCAAATAAAATCCTCCTCCATAAGGGTCCCATCGCAAATGTTCTTTTTTAACGCCTGGGGGTAATTGAGAAACAATCCAATCTGGAATGGGTGGAGGTTCTGTTGGAAATCGTGGCGTTCCAGGAGATTGACTTCGTTTATTTGAAGGAGGTATGGGAAATGGAGGCTGTTGTTGTTGTCCTCCTCTATCTCCAAAGGGTTGTCCACCAAAATTATTTTGACCTCTAGGTGTAGGAGATTCACGCATTGGCAACGGAGAAAGACCCTTCTGTCTTTGAGATTGAATTTGTTGGGCAAAATGGGGCTGTTTTGCTGCTTGTTCCTCAGCTCGAATATGCAAATAATCATAAACAGCTAAAGGTTCCCTTCTAGAAATTTCTGAAGGCGTAGCAGGCTCCGCTGTAGGCCTTTTACTACTCGCAGTGCACAAAGCTCGAGGTGCTTCTACCATTTGTGTTAATTGCTCCGAGGGAGTTTGTTGTACAAATACTCGACGTTCTAGCCATTGATGTCGATATTTGAATTCACGTAAGCAATCAGTTGAAAGCTTGGCATCGTCTAAGGAAGGATCGGATAACCACTCTTGAGTCAATGCTTGTTGAACATCAATACGTCCACTTAAATGTTATTATTTTTAATTTTCTATTAAGAAACGAAACTGTGGATCTCTAACTAAAAGCTTCTTAACAAATTCACGAGCATTTGAAGAAATTTGTTGGTTTGTATCATCAAACTGAAACTCCCCTTTTAATACATTTTGCAAAGTTTCTTCATCATTATCACCAAGAAAAGGTGATTGACCAAAAAGGAGAACGTCTTTAAATCATCAAAATTGTCAAGTAATTTTAAAAATTGTTAAATTACAAGTAAGAGCTCCAACACTCCACATATCAGCTGCTAAAGTGACTGGTTCTGTTCCAGCTACTACTTCGGGAGAAACAAATTCTGGGTTAGATTTAATCGAACCACCCATCAGTTTTCCATTGATTAGCCGTCTATATAATCGCAATTAATTATTATTTTGACTAATAAATCACCTGCTTTGACCAAAATCGGCAAGTCGAAGATGGTCATCTTGCAGTAAAATAACTTCTGGTCTCAAATCCAAATGAACAATCCCCCGACTATGCATATAAGCTAGAGCTGTTAATAGTTGTTTTACAAAGATCTGGGAAAGAATTTCCTGAATCAGAAAGAGAGATCCCTTTTCTACCTGTACTTGTTCTTCTCTAGCTCCAGAAGGACGGGGTGCTGATTCCCCAACTTGACATGTAGAAGGAGATCTTGAATGTGAACGTCTAGATGGCGGAGGTAGTAAAGAGTCAAGAAAGGAGCGATCTGCGCTAAAAAGGGAGATAAAACCTGATTTTAATATTAAAAGGTATACACAATTTTAGAGGGCTTAATGAACGTTTTCCTGGTAATATTGAAGAAAATGAGGTAATTGAATCGGTTGAGGATGCCATTAATTAAGTAATAATTTAAGAAATTTAATTTTTAAGAGAGGATTTAAGAGCAATAATATGGCTATTTTCCAATATTTTTTATAAGCTTGCGTGTTTTGGATCAAGAGCTATTGGGTTGGTATATCGGAAAATGCTTATTTGTTTGCTCATCTATTTGAGTTACTCCCTCATTTATTTGTCGATTTTACTAATAATTTTACCAATAAATCCACTCATCGCTCATATAAAGCTCTCTTAATTCTTAAGAATTTCAACTTAATTTAATTCAAAAAATTCAATTTTTGAATTTAATTACTGCAAAATTTTACGAACTTTCCATAAACTATCACAGCTTCCCCATCCTCCACCAAAACTTGGTGTAATTGAGCAAGATCAGGCGATTCACGCAAAACATTATGCATTTGAATATCCCTTTCCAATTCTTCATCCAAAGGCTTCCTTTGTGCCAAAAAGCGTCTGCCAGTAGAGCGTTCAACAACATTGAAGCAAGGAGAAATACTCCTTGGAGTTGATGAAGCAGACGACATTTTTTTAACTTAATAGAGGGATAAATTTTTAAAAATATTGGTATATTTGAACTGCAGGACTATTATAATTTGCAAAGGATGCACAAACATTTATCCACAAGGCAACTGTTATTTAAAGCTATATTTACAGCTTTAAAGCTTGAGAATAGTGAAAGTATTTTAGTACTATTTCTATTTTTATTTAATAAAGAACTTGTAAAAAAGTTGGAAGAGATTTTAACGTGTTGGGGAAACACGATCGATTTAAAAGCACCAGATGTGTGAGGATAAAAGTGAATAAAAATTTAAAAGCATTGACTAATGTTGTATCCATGTGTGTTTGATAAAGTGAAGGGAGTGGGGGGGGGGGTATAATCGTTTTTGGCGTTATTAGGTGAGCAGTGAGATATCGAGGGAGGACTTATGTTAGTAGGAAACTGTAGGAGAGAGAGTCTAAAAGGGAGTCAACCTCACTGAAATTTTTATTAATAAAAACGGATAAATTATATCAAATATTGGCTTAAATTTGGTCAAGAACTACTTAATCTTACTTTAACATAAATATTTAATTTACCAGCTCTATTAGTAAATCCTCAAGATTGCAAGAAGCAGCATAACCAACGCTTAATTATTGCCAGATATTGTAAAAATTAGTTACTCTCTAAATAAATAATTAAGATAATGTTGTAATATTTTTAGATAAAGCAAATAAATATGTAAGTTAAGGCTATAAAAATTTTAAAAATAAATGAACTTTGCTTCTGAATATTTATCAAAAATTAAAAACATTTTTAAAAATGGCGAGCTTTTTGGCCGTAAATTGAGGGATCAACAAAAATTAGGGAAAGAATAAATACGTTCCATTAATTTTTAATTTTTTCTAATTTTAAGGAAAATTTTCACGGAAATTTTCGAAAAATTAAAAAAAACGGAACGTTTAGGGACTAGAATAAAATTTTTATAAAATTAATCTAATTACTACATAAAATTATTTAACAGATTCTGTTGCAATAGAATATTCTTCTTCTACAGCTTCTTGAATATCATAAATATCTCGAAGAGGTCCGCGCTCCAATTTTATAGATTTTCGAAAGTCTTTTAGTTTGAAATCTTTCAAAAAGTCATTTTCGACTGTTAAATAAATTAAATTTATTTTTAAAAAATATTTGGATAACCTTCTACAGTAATAGTACAAGAAGTAACTGCTTGACCTGCGTCGTTGAAGGCAGTACAGCTGTAAATAAATTTAGTTTATTTTTCTATAGGACGCTGTCTTTATCAGAGAGTAGGGTTGGGAGTTCTAAGGATGTCGAACCCGGATATCCAGAAAGTTGGATATCGCTTTCGGCTCCAGAAATCTAAAGATTTCTCAGGAACAAATAATCTCATTAGAGAAGTACAATATGAAGGGTACAATAGCGACAAGGGCTCCTATTTTTCGTGAATAAATTATTTAAAAATTTTACGTATAAATGCCGGAATCGCTCCAAATGGGTTGATCAATAAGCAGTGTACGCAAATTCGAATCTTCTTGAATCAGATGAACGCGTGAAGATTCGGCAACTGGCCGCCAATCCTTTGATCAAATATTTAAAATTTAGGGGGATAAAACCAATATTTATGCACCTTAAGCCATTTAACCTCTGGCACAGGATTGCCTTCTACACGAACATTTAGCCTTAATGGCTTATCAGAAGTGTAATCCCGATTTGATAAAGGTTGAGTGAATTTTGGGCGGGCTAAAAGTTTCAACTGATAAAGCTTATCATTATCTTAAACTCACTAGCAACATCAACAAGTAAATTTTGTTCAGCTTTTCCATACTGGTTCTCAGCCACACAGGTATATTGCCCAGCATTTGACTTTTGAAAGCCTAGGAATGTGATGGTAGTCTCAGCACCAGCATGTGAGGAAATACTGGAAGTATTCAGAAATATTATTTTTTAAGCAAAAAATCACCGAATGTTTGAGGTTGGCCCGGAGGCATCAATATCCCAACCTCTATGTTTCCATGTAATTTTTGGATCAGGATATCCTGCATAATGTAAAGTAATTGAAAGATGGTCAGTTTCTGCAACGAAGTGTCTTTCTTTCACGCCTGGCGCGAACCTAAAAATATTTTCAATAAAACTTCTTTAAAAAATTTTCAGCACCAAGGAGTGCAAGCATATTGTTCAGCATGTGCTTGATCTAAAGCTCGCTCCATGTAAGGGTCAAGAAGAGGTATAACTCGGCGGAACTTGTCTAAAACTGGTGGAGGTCTTGCCATTAGCCTCGATGGGGGTGATGGGGGAGATGGATCGCTAATTCCATAAATATTCTCGGCACGAACACGAAACTGGTAGCTTTTTCCCAGTTCAAGATTTCGAACTTTGCAGACAGGCTCTGGAATATTGTAGTCAAGTAGTTGCCAGTCTTTATCAGGCAATTCACGAAATTCGATAACATATGTAACTTGAGGGTATCTTGGAGGACTTCTCTTTGTTGGAATCCAGGAAAGGGTTAAATAATGGCCAGTAACTTCTCTACAATAATAAGAGATTAAGGATAAGTCAAATCTTTAAGCTTCTCACTTTATGAAAGGCCCTCTATCAGGGGGTGTTGGAATTGATTTCATTTGCCTTCTGAATCCGTATTCTTCCTATAAATAAAAATCTTTTTTAGTAAACATTGCTATTCCAGCGGACCGTTAAATATGGTGTAACGTCTTCAGAACCGTCAAATTTAATCTTGTCCATGAATGGAACTGTTACATCCAAAATGGCAGAACTTTGTGCCTGTCCATGACAGTTACGCGCAATAGCGACATATTCACCCGCATCTTCAGTACAAACATCTTGTATTAGAAGGGCATGCGAACCACCACCAGCAACCTGGATCTTGTGACGAGGGCCGGGGCATATCTTTTTTCCATTGTGATACCTAATAAAATTTTATCTGGGAAGTCTTTCTCAACTTCATACCAATCAACATCCGGCGGTGGATATCCAACCACAAGACAATCAAATATTGCAGGCATTTTAACGAATACATGTTTGTTCTTGAGTTGTCTAATAAAGCCAGGTGGGAATGGCATAGCTCCACGTCCTTCCTCTTCTTCTCCTTCAACAACACGAGGTCGAATGACACTTAAGGAGCCTGTGGAGACAACCTCTCCAAGTGGATTTTTTGCAACAACTGAATAATCTCCGGCATCGTCTGGTTGAACATTTACAATTACCTGAAGAGAGTTAATTGTATAGAGGAATCGGTATAAGTTCCAACCAAATGATGAAGGCCTCGCTCATCTTGGAAAATACTTATCCTCGAGTCAGGTGCGCCAGCAGCTTCTGCCAAAGGTTTACCATCCTTAAGCCATTCAACACTTGGCGTAGGCACTCCCAGAACGGCAACTTGCCATTCGAGAGGGCTTCCTTGATGTATGCTTTGATTATGCAGACCACTAAAACTAAGTTTAAGTAAAGAACTTTAAGGAATCCTTACGGCCTAATTCTCGGCTTCTGGTCAGCTGGAGGGCCTGCAATATTTGATTGTCTTGTGGTTGGATATCCACCGCCGGATGTTGATTGGTATGAAGTTGAGAAAGACTTCCCAGATAAAATTTTATTAGGTATCACAATGGAAAAAAGATATGCCCCGGCCCTCGTCACAAGATCCAGGTTGCTGGTGGTGGTTCGCATGCCCTTCTAATACAAGATGTTTGTACTGAAGATGCGGGTGAATATGTCGCTATTGCGCGTAACTGTCATGGACAGGCACAAAGTTCTGCCATTTTGGATGTAACAGTTCCATTCATGGACAAGATTAAATTTGACGGTTCTGAAGACGTTACACCATATTTAACGGTCCGCTGGAATAGCAATGTTTACTAAAAAAGATTTTTATTTATAGGAAGAATACGGATTCAGAAGGCAAATGAAATCAATTCCAACACCCCCTGATAGAGGGCCTTTCATAAAGTGAGAAGCTTAAAGATTTGACTTATCCTTAATCTCTTATTATTGTAGAGAAGTTACTGGCCATTATTTAACCCTTTCCTGGATTCCAACAAAGAGAAGTCCTCCAAGATACCCTCAAGTTACATATGTTATCGAATTTCGTGAATTGCCTGATAAAGACTGGCAACTACTTGACTACAATATTCCAGAGCCTGTCTGCAAAGTTCGAAATCTTGAACTGGGAAAAAGCTACCAGTTTCGTGTTCGTGCCGAGAATATTTATGGAATTAGCGATCCATCTCCCCCATCACCCCCATCGAGGCTAATGGCAAGACCTCCACCAGTTTTAGACAAGTTCCGCCGAGTTATACCTCTTCTTGACCCTTACATGGAGCGAGCTTTAGATCAAGCACATGCTGAACAATATGCTTGCACTCCTTGGTGCTGAAAATTTTTTAAAGAAGTTTTATTGAAAATATTTTTAGGTTCGCGCCAGGCGTGAAAGAAAGACACTTCGTTGCAGAAACTGACCATCTTTCAATTACTTTACATTATGCAGGATATCCTGATCCAAAAATTACATGGAAACATAGAGGTTGGGATATTGATGCCTCCGGGCCAACCTCAAACATTCGGTGATTTTTTGCTTAAAAAATAATATTTCTGAATACTTCCAGTATTTCCTCACATGCTGGTGCTGAGACTACCATCACATTCCTAGGCTTTCAAAAGTCAAATGCTGGGCAATATACCTGTGTGGCTGAGAACCAGTATGGAAAAGCTGAACAAAATTTACTTGTTGATGTTGCTAGTGAGTTTAAGATAATGATAAGCTTTATCAGTTGAAACTTTTAGCCCGCCCAAAATTCACTCAACCTTTATCAAATCGGGATTACACTTCTGATAAGCCATTAAGGCTAAATGTTCGTGTAGAAGGCAATCCTGTGCCAGAGGTTAAATGGCTTAAGGTGCATAAATATTGGTTTTATCCCCCTAAATTTTAAATATTTGATCAAAGGATTGGCGGCCAGTTGCCGAATCTTCACGCGTTCATCTGATTCAAGAAGATTCGAATTTGCGTACACTGCTTATTGATCAACCCATTTGGAGCGATTCCGGCATTTATACGTAAAATTTTTAAATAATTTATTCACGAAAAATAGGAGCCCTTGTCGCTATTGTACCCTTCATATTGTACTTCTCTAATGAGATTATTTGTTCCTGAGAAATCTTTAGATTTCTGGAGCCGAAAGCGATATCCAACTTTCTGGATATCCGGGTTCGACATCCTTAGAACTCCCAACCCTACTCTCTGATAAAGACAGCGTCCTATAGAAAAATAAACTAAATTTATTTACAGCTGTACTGCCTTCAACGACGCAGGTCAAGCAGTTACTTCTTGTACTATTACTGTAGAAGGTTATCCAAATATTTTTTAAAAATAAATTTAATCTACAGCTTCTTGAATATCATAAATATCTCGAAGAGGTCCGCGCTCCAATTTTATAGATTTTCGAAAGTCTTTTAGTTTGAAATCTTTCAAAAAGTCATTTTCGACTGTTAAATAAATTAAATTTATTTTTAAAAAATATTTGGATAACCTTCTACAGTAATAGTACAAGAAGTAACTGCTTGACCTGCGTCGTTGAAGGCAGTACAGCTGTAAATAAATTTAGTTTATTTTTCTATAGGACGCTGTCTTTATCAGAGAGTAGGGTTGGGAGTTCTAAGGATGTCGAACCCGGATATCCAGAAAGTTGGATATCGCTTTCGGCTCCAGAAATCTAAAGATTTCTCAGGAACAAATAATCTCATTAGAGAAGTACAATATGAAGGGTACAATAGCGACAAGGGCTCCTATTTTTCGTGAATAAATTATTTAAAAATTTTACGTATAAATGCCGGAATCGCTCCAAATGGGTTGATCAATAAGCAGTGTACGCAAATTCGAATCTTCTTGAATCAGATGAACGCGTGAAGATTCGGCAACTGGCCGCCAATCCTTTGATCAAATATTTAAAATTTAGGGGGATAAAACCAATATTTATGCACCTTAAGCCATTTAACCTCTGGCACAGGATTGCCTTCTACACGAACATTTAGCCTTAATGGCTTATCAGAAGTGTAATCCCGATTTGATAAAGGTTGAGTGAATTTTGGGCGGGCTAAAAGTTTCAACTGATAAAGCTTATCATTATCTTAAACTCACTAGCAACATCAACAAGTAAATTTTGTTCAGCTTTTCCATACTGGTTCTCAGCCACACAGGTATATTGCCCAGCATTTGACTTTTGAAAGCCTAGGAATGTGATGGTAGTCTCAGCACCAGCATGTGAGGAAATACTGGAAGTATTCAGAAATATTATTTTTTAAGCAAAAAATCACCGAATGTTTGAGGTTGGCCCGGAGGCATCAATATCCCAACCTCTATGTTTCCATGTAATTTTTGGATCAGGATATCCTGCATAATGTAAAGTAATTGAAAGATGGTCAGTTTCTGCAACGAAGTGTCTTTCTTTCACGCCTGGCGCGAACCTAAAAATATTTTCAATAAAACTTCTTTAAAAAATTTTCAGCACCAAGGAGTGCAAGCATATTGTTCAGCATGTGCTTGATCTAAAGCTCGCTCCATGTAAGGGTCAAGAAGAGGTATAACTCGGCGGAACTTGTCTAAAACTGGTGGAGGTCTTGCCATTAGCCTCGATGGGGGTGATGGGGGAGATGGATCGCTAATTCCATAAATATTCTCGGCACGAACACGAAACTGGTAGCTTTTTCCCAGTTCAAGATTTCGAACTTTGCAGACAGGCTCTGGAATATTGTAGTCAAGTAGTTGCCAGTCTTTATCAGGCAATTCACGAAATTCGATAACATATGTAACTTGAGGGTATCTTGGAGGACTTCTCTTTGTTGGAATCCAGGAAAGGGTTAAATAATGGCCAGTAACTTCTCTACAATAATAAGAGATTAAGGATAAGTCAAATCTTTAAGCTTCTCACTTTATGAAAGGCCCTCTATCAGGGGGTGTTGGAATTGATTTCATTTGCCTTCTGAATCCGTATTCTTCCTATAAATAAAAATCTTTTTTAGTAAACATTGCTATTCCAGCGGACCGTTAAATATGGTGTAACGTCTTCAGAACCGTCAAATTTAATCTTGTCCATGAATGGAACTGTTACATCCAAAATGGCAGAACTTTGTGCCTGTCCATGACAGTTACGCGCAATAGCGACATATTCACCCGCATCTTCAGTACAAACATCTTGTATTAGAAGGGCATGCGAACCACCACCAGCAACCTGGATCTTGTGACGAGGGCCGGGGCATATCTTTTTTCCATTGTGATACCTAATAAAATTTTATCTGGGAAGTCTTTCTCAACTTCATACCAATCAACATCCGGCGGTGGATATCCAACCACAAGACAATCAAATATTGCAGGCATTTTAACGAATACATGTTTGTTCTTGAGTTGTCTAATAAAGCCAGGTGGGAATGGCATAGCTCCACGTCCTTCCTCTTCTTCTCCTTCAACAACACGAGGTCGAATGACACTTAAGGAGCCTGTGGAGACAACCTCTCCAAGTGGATTTTTTGCAACAACTGAATAATCTCCGGCATCGTCTGGTTGAACATTTACAATTACCTGAAGAGAGTTAATTGTATAGAGGAATCGGTATAAGTTCCAACCAAATGATGAAGGCCTCGCTCATCTTGGAAAATACTTATCCTCGAGTCAGGTGCGCCAGCAGCTTCTGCCAAAGGTTTACCATCCTTAAGCCATTCAACACTTGGCGTAGGCACTCCCAGAACGGCAACTTGCCATTCGAGAGGGCTTCCTTGATGTATGCTTTGATTATGCAGACCACTAAAACTAAGTTTAAGTAAAGAACTTTAAGGAATCCTTACGGCCTAATTCTCGGCTTCTGGTCAGCTGGAGGGCCTGCAATATTTGATTGTCTTGTGGTTGGATATCCACCGCCGGATGTTGATTGGTATGAAGTTGAGAAAGACTTCCCAGATAAAATTTTATTAGGTATCACAATGGAAAAAAGATATGCCCCGGCCCTCGTCACAAGATCCAGGTTGCTGGTGGTGGTTCGCATGCCCTTCTAATACAAGATGTTTGTACTGAAGATGCGGGTGAATATGTCGCTATTGCGCGTAACTGTCATGGACAGGCACAAAGTTCTGCCATTTTGGATGTAACAGTTCCATTCATGGACAAGATTAAATTTGACGGTTCTGAAGACGTTACACCATATTTAACGGTCCGCTGGAATAGCAATGTTTACTAAAAAAGATTTTTATTTATAGGAAGAATACGGATTCAGAAGGCAAATGAAATCAATTCCAAAACCCCCTGATAGAGGGCCTTTCATAAAGTGAGAAGCTTAAAGATTTGACTTATCCTTAATCTCTTATTATTGTAGAGAAGTTACTGGCCATTATTTAACCCTTTCCTGGATTCCAACAAAGAGAAGTCCTCCAAGATACCCTCAAGTTACATATGTTATCGAATTTCGTGAATTGCCTGATAAAGACTGGCAACTACTTGACTACAATATTCCAGAGCCTGTCTGCAAAGTTCGAAATCTTGAACTGGGAAAAAGCTACCAGTTTCGTGTTCGTGCCGAGAATATTTATGGAATTAGCGATCCATCTCCCCCATCACCCCCATCGAGGCTAATGGCAAGACCTCCACCAGTTTTAGACAAGTTCCGCCGAGTTATACCTCTTCTTGACCCTTACATGGAGCGAGCTTTAGATCAAGCACATGCTGAACAATATGCTTGCACTCCTTGGTGCTGAAAATTTTTTAAAGAAGTTTTATTGAAAATATTTTTAGGTTCGCGCCAGGCGTGAAAGAAAGACACTTCGTTGCAGAAACTGACCATCTTTCAATTACTTTACATTATGCAGGATATCCTGATCCAAAAATTACATGGAAACATAGAGGTTGGGATATTGATGCCTCCGGGCCAACCTCAAACATTCGGTGATTTTTTGCTTAAAAAATAATATTTCTGAATACTTCCAGTATTTCCTCACATGCTGGTGCTGAGACTACCATCACATTCCTAGGCTTTCAAAAGTCAAATGCTGGGCAATATACCTGTGTGGCTGAGAACCAGTATGGAAAAGCTGAACAAAATTTACTTGTTGATGTTGCTAGTGAGTTTAAGATAATGATAAGCTTTATCAGTTGAAACTTTTAGCCCGCCCAAAATTCACTCAACCTTTATCAAATCGGGATTACACTTCTGATAAGCCATTAAGGCTAAATGTTCGTGTAGAAGGCAATCCTGTGCCAGAGGTTAAATGGCTTAAGGTGCATAAATATTGGTTTTATCCCCCTAAATTTTAAATATTTGATCAAAGGATTGGCGGCCAGTTGCCGAATCTTCACGCGTTCATCTGATTCAAGAAGATTCGAATTTGCGTACACTGCTTATTGATCAACCCATTTGGAGCGATTCCGGCATTTATACGTAAAATTTTTAAATAATTTATTCACGAAAAATAGGAGCCCTTGTCGCTATTGTACCCTTCATATTGTACTTCTCTAATGAGATTATTTGTTCCTGAGAAATCTTTAGATTTCTGGAGCCGAAAGCGATATCCAACTTTCTGGATATCCGGGTTCGACATCCTTAGAACTCCCAACCCTACTCTCTGATAAAGACAGCGTCCTATAGAAAAATAAACTAAATTTATTTACAGCTGTACTGCCTTCAACGACGCAGGTCAAGCAGTTACTTCTTGTACTATTACTGTAGAAGGTTATCCAAATATTTTTTAAAAATAAATTTAATCTACAGCTTCTTGAATATCATAAATATCTCGAAGAGGTCCGCGCTCCAATTTTATAGATTTTCGAAAGTCTTTTAGTTTGAAATCTTTCAAAAAGTCATTTTCGACTGTTAAATAAATTAAATTTATTTTTAAAAAATATTTGGATAACCTTCTACAGTAATAGTACAAGAAGTAACTGCTTGACCTGCGTCGTTGAAGGCAGTACAGCTGTAAATAAATTTAGTTTATTTTTCTATAGGACGCTGTCTTTATCAGAGAGTAGGGTTGGGAGTTCTAAGGATGTCGAACCCGGATATCCAGAAAGTTGGATATCGCTTTCGGCTCCAGAAATCTAAAGATTTCTCAGGAACAAATAATCTCATTAGAGAAGTACAATATGAAGGGTACAATAGCGACAAGGGCTCCTATTTTTCGTGAATAAATTATTTAAAAATTTTACGTATAAATGCCGGAATCGCTCCAAATGGGTTGATCAATAAGCAGTGTACGCAAATTCGAATCTTCTTGAATCAGATGAACGCGTGAAGATTCGGCAACTGGCCGCCAATCCTTTGATCAAATATTTAAAATTTAGGGGGATAAAACCAATATTTATGCACCTTAAGCCATTTAACCTCTGGCACAGGATTGCCTTCTACACGAACATTTAGCCTTAATGGCTTATCAGAAGTGTAATCCCGATTTGATAAAGGTTGAGTGAATTTTGGGCGGGCTAAAAGTTTCAACTGATAAAGCTTATCATTATCTTAAACTCACTAGCAACATCAACAAGTAAATTTTGTTCAGCTTTTCCATACTGGTTCTCAGCCACACAGGTATATTGCCCAGCATTTGACTTTTGAAAGCCTAGGAATGTGATGGTAGTCTCAGCACCAGCATGTGAGGAAATACTGGAAGTATTCAGAAATATTATTTTTTAAGCAAAAAATCACCGAATGTTTGAGGTTGGCCCGGAGGCATCAATATCCCAACCTCTATGTTTCCATGTAATTTTTGGATCAGGATATCCTGCATAATGTAAAGTAATTGAAAGATGGTCAGTTTCTGCAACGAAGTGTCTTTCTTTCACGCCTGGCGCGAACCTAAAAATATTTTCAATAAAACTTCTTTAAAAAATTTTCAGCACCAAGGAGTGCAAGCATATTGTTCAGCATGTGCTTGATCTAAAGCTCGCTCCATGTAAGGGTCAAGAAGAGGTATAACTCGGCGGAACTTGTCTAAAACTGGTGGAGGTCTTGCCATTAGCCTCGATGGGGGTGATGGGGGAGATGGATCGCTAATTCCATAAATATTCTCGGCACGAACACGAAACTGGTAGCTTTTTCCCAGTTCAAGATTTCGAACTTTGCAGACAGGCTCTGGAATATTGTAGTCAAGTAGTTGCCAGTCTTTATCAGGCAATTCACGAAATTCGATAACATATGTAACTTGAGGGTATCTTGGAGGACTTCTCTTTGTTGGAATCCAGGAAAGGGTTAAATAATGGCCAGTAACTTCTCTACAATAATAAGAGATTAAGGATAAGTCAAATCTTTAAGCTTCTCACTTTATGAAAGGCCCTCTATCAGGGGGTTTTGGAATTGATTTCATTTGCCTTCTGAATCCGTATTCTTCCTATAAATAAAAATCTTTTTTAGTAAACATTGCTATTCCAGCGGACCGTTAAATATGGTGTAACGTCTTCAGAACCGTCAAATTTAATCTTGTCCATGAATGGAACTGTTACATCCAAAATGGCAGAACTTTGTGCCTGTCCATGACAGTTACGCGCAATAGCGACATATTCACCCGCATCTTCAGTACAAACATCTTGTATTAGAAGGGCATGCGAACCACCACCAGCAACCTGGATCTTGTGACGAGGGCCGGGGCATATCTTTTTTCCATTGTGATACCTAATAAAATTTTATCTGGGAAGTCTTTCTCAACTTCATACCAATCAACATCCGGCGGTGGATATCCAACCACAAGACAATCAAATATTGCAGGCCCTCCAGCTGACCAGAAGCCGAGAATTAGGCCGTAAGGATTCCTTAAAGTTCTTTACTTAAACTTAGTTTTAGTGGTCTGCATAATCAAAGCATACATCAAGGAAGCCCTCTCGAATGGCAAGTTGCCGTTCTGGGAGTGCCTACGCCAAGTGTTGAATGGCTTAAGGATGGTAAACCTTTGGCAGAAGCTGCTGGCGCACCTGACTCGAGGATAAGTATTTTCCAAGATGAGCGAGGCCTTCATCATTTGGTTGGAACTTATACCGATTCCTCTATACAATTAACTCTCTTCAGGTAATTGTAAATGTTCAACCAGACGATGCCGGAGATTATTCAGTTGTTGCAAAAAATCCACTTGGAGAGGTTGTCTCCACAGGCTCCTTAAGTGTCATTCGACCTCGTGTTGTTGAAGGAGAAGAAGAGGAAGGACGTGGAGCTATGCCATTCCCACCTGGCTTTATTAGACAACTCAAGAACAAACATGTATTCGTTAAAATGCCTGCAATATTTGATTGTCTTGTGGTTGGATATCCACCGCCGGATGTTGATTGGTATGAAGTTGAGAAAGACTTCCCAGATAAAATTTTATTAGGTATCACAATGGAAAAAAGATATGCCCCGGCCCTCGTCACAAGATCCAGGTTGCTGGTGGTGGTTCGCATGCCCTTCTAATACAAGATGTTTGTACTGAAGATGCGGGTGAATATGTCGCTATTGCGCGTAACTGTCATGGACAGGCACAAAGTTCTGCCATTTTGGATGTAACAGTTCCATTCATGGACAAGATTAAATTTGACGGTTCTGAAGACGTTACACCATATTTAACGGTCCGCTGGAATAGCAATGTTTACTAAAAAAGATTTTTATTTATAGGAAGAATACGGATTCAGAAGGCAAATGAAATCAATTCCAACACCCCCTGATAGAGGGCCTTTCATAAAGTGAGAAGCTTAAAGATTTGACTTATCCTTAATCTCTTATTATTGTAGAGAAGTTACTGGCCATTATTTAACCCTTTCCTGGATTCCAACAAAGAGAAGTCCTCCAAGATACCCTCAAGTTACATATGTTATCGAATTTCGTGAATTGCCTGATAAAGACTGGCAACTACTTGACTACAATATTCCAGAGCCTGTCTGCAAAGTTCGAAATCTTGAACTGGGAAAAAGCTACCAGTTTCGTGTTCGTGCCGAGAATATTTATGGAATTAGCGATCCATCTCCCCCATCACCCCCATCGAGGCTAATGGCAAGACCTCCACCAGTTTTAGACAAGTTCCGCCGAGTTATACCTCTTCTTGACCCTTACATGGAGCGAGCTTTAGATCAAGCACATGCTGAACAATATGCTTGCACTCCTTGGTGCTGAAAATTTTTTAAAGAAGTTTTATTGAAAATATTTTTAGGTTCGCGCCAGGCGTGAAAGAAAGACACTTCGTTGCAGAAACTGACCATCTTTCAATTACTTTACATTATGCAGGATATCCTGATCCAAAAATTACATGGAAACATAGAGGTTGGGATATTGATGCCTCCGGGCCAACCTCAAACATTCGGTGATTTTTTGCTTAAAAAATAATATTTCTGAATACTTCCAGTATTTCCTCACATGCTGGTGCTGAGACTACCATCACATTCCTAGGCTTTCAAAAGTCAAATGCTGGGCAATATACCTGTGTGGCTGAGAACCAGTATGGAAAAGCTGAACAAAATTTACTTGTTGATGTTGCTAGTGAGTTTAAGATAATGATAAGCTTTATCAGTTGAAACTTTTAGCCCGCCCAAAATTCACTCAACCTTTATCAAATCGGGATTACACTTCTGATAAGCCATTAAGGCTAAATGTTCGTGTAGAAGGCAATCCTGTGCCAGAGGTTAAATGGCTTAAGGTGCATAAATATTGGTTTTATCCCCCTAAATTTTAAATATTTGATCAAATATTGGTTTTATCCCCCTAAATTTTAAATATTTGATCAAAGGATTGGCGGCCAGTTGCCGAATCTTCACGCGTTCATCTGATTCAAGAAGATTCGAATTTGCGTACACTGCTTATTGATCAACCCATTTGGAGCGATTCCGGCATTTATACGTAAAATTTTTAAATAATTTATTCACGAAAAATAGGAGCCCTTGTCGCTATTGTACCCTTCATATTGTACTTCTCTAATGAGATTATTTGTTCCTGAGAAATCTTTAGATTTCTGGAGCCGAAAGCGATATCCAACTTTCTGGATATCCGGGTTCGACATCCTTAGAACTCCCAACCCTACTCTCTGATAAAGACAGCGTCCTATAGAAAAATAAACTAAATTTATTTACAGCTGTACTGCCTTCAACGACGCAGGTCAAGCAGTTACTTCTTGTACTATTACTGTAGAAGGTTATCCAAATATTTTTTAAAAATAAATTTAATTTATTTAACAGTCGAAAATGACTTTTTGAAAGATTTCAAACTAAAAGACTTTCGAAAATCTATAAAATTGGAGCGCGGACCTCTTCGAGATATTTATGATATTCAAGAAGCTGTAGATTAAATTTATTTTTAAAAAATATTTGGATAACCTTCTACAGTAATAGTACAAGAAGTAACTGCTTGACCTGCGTCGTTGAAGGCAGTACAGCTGTAAATAAATTTAGTTTATTTTTCTATAGGACGCTGTCTTTATCAGAGAGTAGGGTTGGGAGTTCT